GGCCAAATAGGCATCCCCCCACCCCAAATGCCATCAGATGGTTTCATTCCATTAAGGTGATAATGAAGAAGTAACTACCTGGATTTGGACTTCAAGCATCTTCACATAAGTGTGACTCATTTGGAGAGGGGAATTCTTTCAACTCCACTTTGAACTGATAATTAAGATGGTTTAAGTGTCAGTGTTTATCTGCACATAATCAGAGAGAACCAGACTTCTTTCACACCGTCTGCCAGGTGATCCTGTGATCCTGGTGGTAGGTCTGACAAGCTTAGTTCATCCTTTAGGGCAGAGTTAGTAGACCTGTTAAGACTTGTGTTTTGGTCTTTAAAAACAGTAAAAGAAGTGTTCTGTGCTTAGGGAGAGCTGATTCTGATTTACTGTGTATTTTTATTTTATTAAGATCATAATTACTAGATACATACATATTCACTTCCTTTTTGTTGAATATCAGCTTCATCTGGGAAAGACCTTTTGTGAAAGCCTGAAATTCTTCACTGTGGTCTAAAATGTAATTGGGATTGGAGAGGAAACCTGTGCCCACCTGCCGAGGTAGTAGGTCTCAGGTACTGCCGCCAGTGCAGGACAGACAGAACCAAGCCAGTAGTGCAAGAAGCTTAACATAAGCAACCACAGCAGGGTGTTTCATTTAAAGAAAAGAACTTTTAAAACCAGAAAACATTTTCAGAGCTTTGCCTAAAATCAGTTTTGAAGTTCCATTTAAAAACTTAATATGAAAGTTAATCTGATTCAACAAGGTGGTTCTGCATTGTACTTAAAAAGTACAAAGGGCCAAGAATAACCAAGACATTTGTGAAGAATGAGAGTGGAAGACTTGCCTGCCAGCTGTCAGGGCCTGACTAGAGGTAGTTAACACTGTTACTGGCATAGGGATGGAAACAGACGAAGGTGTAGACGACGGACATTACTATAGAGGTAGCACTGGAGGTCAGTGTGAAACTGAGGGACTTTTTAGTAAAGGTGAGGAACAATTGACCAGCTATTTGGATAAAACTGAAATTAATGCAGAAAAAAGTCCATGACCAACAAAAATCAAAATTTTAAATTAATGATTTTTCTTTTGCCTCAAGCTCTAGTATGGCTTGCTGTAGGGCACTGTGTGACAGCCCACACTGGAAGCCCATGTGTCCAATGATCACTTTATTCATACAAGAGAATGGCCATACTGCAGTAAAAAACTACAGCTTTACATAATTAATAGTATATCTCAAATATACTATCAAACAAAAGCAAGTCACAAATGCATGCTGTAGGACTTCACTGATCCCAAAACAGCGCAAACTATTTTAAAGAAATCATCCTTGGATGGTAAAACTAAGAAGCAAGGAGGTGATTAGATCATTACAAAAATCAGAATAGTGGTCACCTGGGAACAGAGGTGCATAGGACATTTGATCCCATTGCAGTCACCACCACTGAGCTAAAGAAAAGCTTTTCCATGTTGGAGCAAATGTTCTAGACATGAGGCTTTGATCTGATAATCTGAATCCTTGACAGTGAAAGAACTTGAGATAAATGTGTTCTTTAATTCTTGTTTTGATTAATAAACACAGAAGATCTGAATTGTGCTCTTTGGTGTGTAAAGCAAAGAGAGCCAAGTCGATCGACTGTTTTGTTCTGGCAGGTGAGAATCTAACTGCTTTTCCTTCCCTTGAGTGAATCAACCACCAAATGCAATTACAAAATGATAGGGGGAATGAGAATGGGACTGAAAAGGTCGTGCTTCCTTTTTCTTAGCCATCAGCATCCTATGTGGAGTCCCTTCCACCTCCCCACCCCACGAGACTCTAGTAAGCTAGAGGGAGGTGATAGGCTGCCTCTACCACCTCCACATCAAGCCCCCGATAAAGAGGCCAGAAGCAGGATTTAAAAGGCCAGTTGTTTTCCTTCCAGGTTACATCAGGACTCCCCACCTCCCTGGTCCTTATTCTAGGCCATGGTTTTTTGCTTCTTGTTCCCACACTTCCCTCCTTTCAGCCCCATGGACGCTGGAGGCTTTGGGGGCTTCTTAAACTTTGGCTAGTCTTGTCCCCACCCCACTCCAGAGCTCTCCCACGGGGCCAACCCCATTTCTTTGGGCTTTTGTAGCTTCCTTCCTTCCCCTCTTTCCTATTAGTTCCTTCCCCAGGCCCTGCATATATCCATATATCAGAGATTTCTACATAGTTTTCTGTTGCTAGTGGAGGGAGGAAAAAGGGAATCTTGCTTCAAGTGGAAGCAGGAAAGACCCAGTTCCTCCTTTCACTCACCTTAGACAGGAGCCTCAGCCACCAGAGCCCACAGGGATATGCATGCCCTGCATTCACAGAATTGACCTGGGAACCTCATGCGGTAATATGGGAAACATGAAGAGCTAGACAAGTGCAAAGAACCATCAGACAGTAAATTCTGTTGCTGCATCCTACAGACCCACCTCCTTATCTGCCCCAGATGATTGTCAGTTCCTCTCAGAACACCTGTGGCCAGAGTCACCCCAAATGGCGCTTCACAGGGACAGCTTACTGGGCACCTACTCTCAAGCTGGAAGTTAAGGCAAGGTCTTGAAGTTTGGGCCTGCTATTAGTGGAGGGAAGGAAAGAAGGTAGCCCTGTGTAGCCACTCCCCTGGTCCTCCCCTTCCCTCTAATGCTCTTGCTGCCTTCCACCTCTGCAACTTCAGTGATACCGTCCCTGGAGAGGCTCAGTCAGTGGGTTGTAGCCAGTTAGCAAATAGCTGAAGCTTGGAGGTGGTGGGCAGGGGAGGGGCCAGTAGGCGAGTGCCCGGGTCTGGCCCCGTGCCACTGCAAGAATCCTGAGATCTCCGATGGGGGGCCAGGGCCCAGCTCCTCTCAGAATTGGAGCCAGCCTGGGAAGCCAATATGAGGGTTTGGGCCTCTAGCATGGGGAGGGCAGGGAAGGGTTATCACCCTCAGCTGCCTCCTACCCACTCAGCCAGCTTGCTCGTGTCCAAGCCTCTTAGCTTACTGGGACTGGGGCTGCTGCTTTCCATTTGGCACCTTTGTGAGAATGACAAAAAGGATCCCTTAACTCCAGGAGGACAGCCTCACACCGGGGTGCAGGCTTGGCATAGGCTGGCTTTAGTGCCCTGGCACCCTGGACTGAGCACCCTTGAGGGCAGTAGCCCTGCTTAGGACCATATCATCTCCTTGCCCTTTGCCTACTCAGATAGCCCTTCCTCAGACAGTGCTGTGGATCTCAGGGCCAGGAATGGTCCACTCAACAAAATGGTTCTAGAATGTTAAAACCTTCCCATTTTACCTTGAACAACAAAGACTCCTCCCTGCTCAATTGAAAAGGGGAAAGAAGAATCTTCCACTGTTCTGAAATACCTTCTGGGAGGACTCCAGGCAGGCCCAAAATTCTAGAGTGGTTCCCCAAGAAGTGAATAAAGGGAGAGAACAGATTTCCTGGGAAAGCAGGGAGACCTGGGCCTGTTCCTGGACCCAGCAGGCCAAGCCAACAAGCTGAAGGCTAAGCCTCTGGCTGCTCCATTGGTTACTCTCCCCCGACCCCACTGGAGCACAGGCAGATCCACCCAGGCCAGGGCCCCAAGAGGGCAGAGTCTGGTGATGGGCACGATGCCCAGCAGGATTTAACACGGGGGTCTTCTCATCAGGGGCAGTAAGGAGGCTATGAGAGATCAAATGAAACTGCCTGCTTCTGGGTGGGACACCCTCCTATACCCCAACTATTTACAGCTCAAGCTCTGGACATCACTGTGGGACACACTGGCTATGGAGTCAGAGTCCCGAGTTGAACTGAGCAAGTAGACTGGCTCCTCTGAGCCTGTTTTCTCATCTAAGAAATGAAGCTAAGAAGGCCTGCTTTGCAGGTTGTGATTAAGGTAACTGACATACATGCCTTTCATAGAGTTGGGCACAGAGCTGCTGTCTTCATTATAAAGCCAAACGGAAGTTGGCAAACTACCCAGATTCCTGTGGCAGGCAAAGTGGGGCTGTTGGTGATGGCATGACCAGCTTCTCGTGATGCCATAGATGGGGCCACCTGTGCGACCACATGGGTGCCACTTCTGCTTGTTCCACCTGCATGGTGGTGGCTGCTGCTGCTGCTTGGGACAAGGTCCCATCTGGGCTTTGGGCAATGTTTGTTATGGGGCAAATCCCCTCTCCTAGAGAAGCAGAGAGCACTGGGGCCAGGAGAGGGGGAGCAGCTATTGATTAGCCCTTTCATTTTGTAGATGGGGAAACTGAGGCCCCAAAGAGGCCAAGGAATGGAATGGCCTCAACTTGCCCAGCTGGTTCCAGCTGCCCAGGACCCACCCTATCTTCCACTCCAGATTTAAGAATAAGCCTGTCTCAGTACAACAGTCCCTTTACCTTTCTACAGTGTCTACCAAATACTTTCATGGGCTTGACCCTTACATAGGAGGTTCTAAAGGTATATGTGTGAGGGAACATAAGAAGCAGCTGGAAAGGTTGTAAGGATATAATGGGGTAATTGCTGGAAATTGGGGAGATGATTCTACTTTGATACTGCCATCCCATCTAGATGGGCAGACCTTCAAGGAAGCCAGCGTTTTGCATTCCCTCACACAAACTTAACTACCTGTGCCTGTTAGTGGAGTCTTGCCCAGTCCTCCCTAGGATTCTTGGAATCAGTTTGTTCCTGAAATGAAGAAATGCAGGCAGGTAAAAGTGGGAGGAAGAGGCAAAAACTAGCTTCCAAAGCTCGCTCTGGAGCCGCAGCTGGGAGAGCGTTCATACCTAGTCCCGCCTTGTAAAACTTCGGAGGAGAGACAAACGTTTACAGGTGCCATCAGGCTGAGGACTGCAGTTTCTCATCCAGTTGATTAGCACAGGCTGTAGAGGAGCCCTGTCTGGTCCACACAGAGAGGAAAGAACAGTCTGAGAACAGCTAGCAAACCTGGGGTTTCTGGCTGTATCCCACAGGAACCCAGGAGGTCTATTGTGAGTTGGTTTTCTAGGGTCCAGAGCTAATGAGAACACATCAGCCAGAAGGTTCTGGGTTCAGCTGACTTTATTAGGCCCCAATACAGCTGTAGGTGGCCATGTGGCAAATGTGCTTGGGAGCTGACCTTGCCTGTGTAGCCAAGGGTTGGTGCCGTAGGGCAGGCTTATGCCAAGTGCCTTCTTGCCTAGTGTCCAACAGCTTGGAGGATTTCCAGGGCCAAGGAAGCCACAGCACTGTCAGCAGACGAACTGTGAGAAAAACCAGAGTAGAAATACTTAGACATCTCCAGGATATAAATGCCCCCTCTTTCAAAGGGGCTGGCCTCTCTTGCATCCAAATATCTGATCGACCAGCTGCTTCCTAGAGCTGCCCCTGCACGTGATCTTGAGAAACAGAAACAGGATTCCCAGTGGGGCTCAGAACTGGCCATGCCTGCACTCTTGAGCTAGGTCTGAGCTCCTGGCCACCACTCCACGTCTGAACCACCTTGGGCAGGTGCACTGACGCTGAGCTGTAAAGGCAAGCCAGCAGCCAGACCCTTCCCGGGTCCTGCATTGGGCCTACCTGCAGATGACTTGTGTGAAACGGCAAAGATCCCAGATCCGCTCTAAACATTGACTCCCTGTTCCATGTTGCCACTTCCTGGCCAATCAGCCAGAGCTTTGGGTTTCTTACTCTAATAGGTGTGGATGTGCAATTAAGAGCTTAAAATGGAAATTTTGTTACTGGGGCAAATTGTTTGAGACACATTTAAACCTGTGCCTTAACAACTGTTAGCAAAAAAAGAATGACACATAGCAGTGTGCCTTGAAGTATAAAATTAGCTTGTGGCACACTCCTGACTACACAGAAATAGAGCTGTTGCCAAATAACCAAATGGGGAGGCTGCATAAAAGAGGTGGGTCGCAGTGGAACAGGGCTGCGGTCGCGAGATGCTGCCACGCATTCCTGCTCTGCGCATCAAAGGTCCCGAGGGACGGCAGGAATGTGTTTGAACTTGGCCTGCTCCTGGCTGATTCCAGGCGACTCTGGTGGAGTTCATGCTACCCACCCTGCCCACCAGAGCAGCCCCAAAAGGCCCAGTGACTGGTAAAGAGGGCACACCAACCTCTGGCAGAGCCACATCAGAACCGAGAACACAGCCATCCACTCAGTCTTGGTCAACATCAGAAAACCTTTTCTTGTTGGGCCACCTGAACAAGCCCAAACAAGACAACTTCAGAACAACCACCTCCCCACCCAGACGAGATCTGTCTGGGATAGACATTTTAGTTCCTGGAGCGTTGAGTGGGGTGCAGAAGAGGCCAGCAGCCAGCAGCTTCACGGAGCACTGAGCCTTGTTTTGACGCATTAAGTCCAATTTTGGGTCCAGCTCTCCCAAACTGGTGCAGCATTAGGATGTGCTGGCTTTGGCCTAAAGGCAGACGGAGGACTCTGCCAGGTGAGGAGTCCCACAAAGGCAGGCACTGGAGAGGAAGGCTCTCAAGAGCTATCCACTAAGCTCCACTCCTCCCAGTGGCTCTCCCATTCCCTCCTCAGCACAAACCTGCTCAGAGTGGCTTCATCACAGCTGTTTACACAAGGCCAGGATCCCTGGGGATGGACATCACAGGCTTCTCACAAACCAGTCTAGCAAAAGACCTGTGGCCCAGCCCATGGAATCACTGTCCACGCCTTATTCCACAGGGGTTCACCAGGGGGATGAGGGGCCCTTCCCATCAAAGTCAGCCTGTCCTTTTCCTCGCCTCACGGGAACCATGGATAAGAAGCCATTTCTTTGGCTTAAACTAAAAAGGAAAGGGGGTGGGATAGGCCAGGAGATGGTGACCCCGTTCCCCACCCAGAATTAAATGCAAAATTAAATGCAAAAAGGCTGGTTGGAGCTGAGCCTTCACAGATTCACCTTCTCAGCAATTCCTTAACCATGTATCTTTCTTCAAATTAATACCAAACCCAAAACACCAGGAAGCAGATTTCACAGAACACTGTGGTTCTGAAAACAAACTACTAGGAAATGCCAGGCACCATTCCATCTCTTGCATACCCACAGAAGCCCATTACCCCTTAGGAAGTGTGGGCTTCTCCCTAGGGCGAGGAGAGCACGTGGGGCTCAGGGGACTGTGGCCACCACAAGCTCTGGCCACCTCCCTCAGCTCCGGGGGCAATGGCCTGAGGGAGGAGGGGTGACTGCATTCACTGAGTCATTAGTCAAACCTCTTGAACCCCCACCACATGCCGGACTCTGGTGCTGTCATACTCAGTGGACCATTACATGGCATCAGCTGACTAAACGATAGGCACCTGGGGGCAACTTTCTCCTTATCCTGTGCAATTTTTCTTTGGTCACTTGGCACTAATGTTTTTAATAAACTAAGACTCATATGCCCTACCCCCACCACCTCCGCCTCTTAATTCAGGGGTTGTTGGGGGGCGTGTCGGGTGCATGTCATTGTGGGATGAACCCTTCCTGTGGCCCTCACTCCACCAAGCATCAGCATCACTGTGGCGCTGGCTAGATGCCAGCTCCTATCTTCACAGTATGTAACACACTGCTGGGTGATGGGGCTGCCCTGGTCTCTGCACCTCACTTCTAGGACCTTCTAGACATACTAACTGCAGAGCTGAGGATTGGAAGGCTGACCTAACCTCACACTGTCAGATTCTGTGTCAAATAGTCTGTTCTGTAAGTCCCAACTGTTCCCTCTGAAGATCTGGCCAAGGAAGGCAGCCTGGTGCTGTCGAGTGGGCTGAGCTGTGGGTTCTGACCCCAGCTATGTCTGGGCCTCCAGACCATCTGCAAGGTGGTGGTAGTGATGCCTGTGGCCCACGCTGCTGATGGGGGCATGTGTGCAAAGGCTGGGTACTGCCTTTCTTAAAAGGTTCATCATATCTCCCATCTGGTGTCCCCTCCCACCTGATCATAATCCACTCCCCTCCCCCTTTCTCTTCTCTAGAGATGGGAATATTGCCTCCCCCATAAGGACTAAGACATTCTACTTTTCTTCTTCTCCTTGTTAACCCCACCACCACCTGCAAAGTGGGATTCCCATGGGGCAGAGGGGCAGAGTGGCCCTTCTCACACTGGGAGGGATCTCAGTAAGCAATGACAGGCTGGAAGGTGGTGGTTCCTGGTGTGTAGGGGGAATAGGGGGAGAGGAAGCAAGAAAGGAATGGGTGAGAGTGTTTGCTGAGCCCAAGTAGACAGCACTGCTCCTCCTGGGCCTACTTACCTACCAGCTGGGGCCAGCCACTCCAGAGCGCGCAGGAGGCTGCCCGCATTCTTGAGGCTCTCCAGGTGCTTCTCATTGGAGGTGATCTGCAAGGGAAGGAGAAGAAAGTGGTCGGCTGGCCCATCCCTGACTCACGCCCCATGGGATGGGCATCCTGAGTCTCAGGCTGTCTGTGGCATTGGGGTGTATGCCCTGAGCCCCACCCCCCAGGAGACTGCTGACCATGGGGATAAAGGCAGACAGCAGTGACCCTTGGGGGTAAGCATGAGGTTGTCCATTGGGGCTGGAGATGTGCCAGGTCATGATGGGGTGCCTCCTGTGAGTCCCTCAGGAGTGTCTGTGTTTGGAATCCTGAACTTTCCAAAGCAAATTATGAGTGAGTGAACTTTCCAGTTGTCAGGGCCTGGACCCTGTGGGTCCTTGCATCCGTGGGGCGCTGAGCCCAACACAACCTCTTCATATGGACAAAAGGATCATGATTCTGGGTGCCTGGTGATCCCAGGTGCCCAGGGAAGTGTGCCCTTGCTAACTGCCACAGTCCTGGGAGAAACTGGAAAAACACTCAGGCATCCAAGACTCTGCAGCACCTACATGCAGAATCATAAACTCAGGAAGGGCCTCGGATGGGTACTGACCCAGACTGGGCTTCCCGAGACCTCCTAAGTCAGCCTTGCCATAAAATGAGTCCATGTCCTGCGAGGCAGAGAAACGAGGGTTTTAGGAATGAACCTTGATTCTAGGACTAGACTTGCTCCTCTTAATTCACCACGCATGTCCTATTTTTGCCCTTTGTTATTTAAAAAATATTTTGTAAGAAACAGTTGTATGGCACTTTACATTTCAGAAGGCTCTGCAGGTTCCTGTACGTTTTCCCATTTATTCTTTTCAACAGCCTCACCTTGCAAAGTAAGCATGTGGTGTGTTTTACAGATGAGGGAACGGAGGCTTAGTGAGATTAAGGGGCCACTACAGCAGTATACATGGAGCCTTATCCTATCCCCACCATGAAGCTGGAACCAGGCTAGCTTCAGCTGACCCCAATGCTCAAGTGTTCTATGTCTTTCCACTTGATCATAGCAACCGACGCTGCATTATCATCTCTCTGGTTCTCAAGAAGAGGCTGAACATTTCTTAATCAATCACTCATGGTGATAGGAATGTCACAGGGGTAATTAAACTTTAACGTGGACTCTGAATTACGTGTGAACAAATTTCACCTCCACTGAGATCCTATCCCACTTACTGAGTGTGCCAGAGACCAGCTGCCAACTCAACTGCATCAGGTGTGATTTCTGCAAAGATTTGCATCTTAAAAGAGCTGCATGTAATTTTTTTCTGCAGTTACACCCAACTTGATGAGTTCAAAGGCTGCTGTTTGACAGTGTCAGCTGTAGTTCAATTATGTCTGAAGTAAGCACAAACTTATAATGAAGGGGTCTTTTCTTTTTTTTGAGGAAGATTAGCCCTGAGCTAACATCTGCCGCCAATCCTCCTCATTTTGCTGAGGAAGACTGGCCCTGAGCTAAGATCTGTGCCCATCTTCCTCTACTTTATATGTGGGACGCCTGCCACAGCATGGCTGGACAAGCAGTGTGTAGGTCCACACCCGCAATCCAAATCAGTGAACCCCGGGCTGCTGAAGCGGAACGTGCAAACTTAACCACTGCGCTACCAGGCCGGCCCCCTGAGGGGTCTTCAGTGAGGATTCCCACCTGATTTTTCTCAAAACTTGCCTCATACAGCTCAGTTGAGCTACATCCAGACTCACTGCCCCAACCAGCCTTACCAGGGGATCATGTGTAGAGACAAGATAATCACCCCACAAGTTGCAAAGAAATAACAAGACTATATTCACTCACAAGGTTGGTTAGAAGGTACAAATAGAAAAATAAAGTGAGAATTATGTGATCAAAGGAAGAGACCAAAATAGCATCATGTGCAGCTGACAGAGATGTAGGCATAAACAAAGCCAAAGGAATTAATTGAAAACGATGTGATTTGGCCACTTAACTGAACTCTAACAATAGCAACTGTTATCCTGTATATAAAGATGAGCTAATTAGAAAATAAAAATTAAAATAATATCAGTCAGAGGTTCTAGTTCTGGGTGAGACAGAGAAAACACACGCCACCCTTTCTCTCCCTCTGACTGCAACTATAAAACCTGAACAGAATGCACAGCACAGCTATTTGAGAACAATGAAAAGTAAACAGCAACAGGCAGATTGGGGAAGGACACTGAAGACTGGCGGAGAATTTTACCACTTCTTTCCCTCCAGTGTAGTTCAGCTTGAACTCAACAAATTCACACCCAGAAGTGAGCACTGTGGGGCAGAAGAGAGAGGGCAGAAGCCAGGGTTGAGGAATGGGAAAGAAAACTCCCAAGAGCTTAGAGGGAGTATATGCAACCCCTCAGGTTTTCCCCTTTCCTTTTCTTCAGTTCTCTTTTGCCCCAGGTCCCAGGAAATTCTGTGGTGGCAGTGGTGGCAGCAATAGCAACAGAAGCCTCCAGGCAAAACTTTTTCCTTTGTCTGTTCTCCCAATGTTTGGCCCAGATATGACAATTGTGGAAGTGAGCAGTTTATGGCTAGACAGAAAATGGGAGACTCAGGGAACCTGAAAGTATTAGGAAAATAATGAATAGAGAAGAGCTCAAGAAAGCAACCCCATAAAATTCTTTATGAACTCCTAGGCTCACCCTCAACCTATGCATGCATGGAACTAATCCACTTTGGCATAGCAAAAACTCAGAGAACTGAGCTAACAAACCTCTGCCAAGATCCCAGACTGACCCCCTGGAAGATGGACACACAAGATAGATCCAAATAACATTGCAAATGCTTTGAAACTGACCTGACATTGAAATCACAATTCCAACCTGCAGCCTGAACCTCACCAACATAACTGCTTGCTAAAACAAAAGTATCAACGTTCTCTGTAGGGTTTCAACAAGGCACAGTGTCTCAGAATGTAGTGTTTAAAATAGCCAGGATAAAATCCAAAATTGCTTGACATACAACCAACCATGAAAATCTCTACTCGCATGAGAAAAGACAATAAATAATAAGATGACACAGTGCTGGATTATCTAGCAAAGATTTTAAAGTGTTATAAAAATGCTAAAACAAACAATCACTAACACTCTCAAAACATGTATTAAAATAGAATGTAGGGGCCAGCCCTGTGGCCAAGTGGTTAAGTTCACACACACTGCTTCAGCGGCCCAGGGTTTCTCAGATTCGGATCCTGAGCACGGACATGGCACTACTCATCAGGCCATGTTGAGGCAGCGTCCCACATGCCACAGCTAGAGGGACCCACAACTAAAATATACAACTATGTACTGGGGGGATTTGGGGAGAAAAAGCAGAAAAAAAAATAGAATGTAACATTCTTGAAACAAGTATTAAAATAGGATAGAACATTGAAATAGAATGAAGTATTAAAATAGAATAGAATGTAAAAGAATAGAATATATAAAGGAGAATCAAGTGGAAATTTTAGAACTAACAATATAATAATACCAAAAATTTTTTTAAACCACACTGAATGGATCCATTAGCAAAATGGAATGAGGCAGTGAACTTGAAGATAGGTCAATAGTAATGATCCAGTCTCAGCAACAGAGAGAAAAAGGTTGAAAACACAAATGGACAGAGCCTCAGGGACCTGTGGGACAATAACAAAAAGTTTGTGTCATTGGAGTTTCAGAATGAGAGGACAAAGCATGAATGGGATGAAAAGGTATTTGAAGAAATTATAGCTAAAACTATTCCAAGTGTGATGACAGACACAAAGCTACTGATTCAAGAAGTTGAGAAAATCTCAAACAAGATAAACCCAAAGAATCCATACTCAAACACATCATAATCAAACTTGCTGAAGACAAAGAATCTTGAAAGCAGGCAGGAAAAAAAAGATGCATTACTTGTAGGAGAACAATGATTTGCATTACTGTGGATTTCTCATCACATTGAGGTCAGAAGAAAGAGACCCAACATTTTTGAAGTGCTAAAAGAAAAGTATTATCGGGACAGCCCTGGTGGCCTGGTGGTTAAGTTTTGTGTGCTCCACTTTGGTGGCCCAGGTTTGGTTCCCAGGTGCAGACCTAAACCACTCATCTGTGGCCATGCTGTGGTGACAGCTCACATACAAAAAGAGGAAGACTGGCAGCAGATGTTAGCTCAGGGCAAATCTTCCTTAGCAAAAAATAAGACAAGAAACAAAGGAAAAGAAAAAAGAATTATCAAACTAGAATTCTATATCTAGCAAAAATATTCAGGAGTTAAGGTAAAATAAAGACATTCTCAGATGAAGGAAAACTAATAGAAGCAGAACTGCTCTAAAAGAATTGCTAACGGAAGTTCTTCAGAGAGAAAGTAAATAATACCAGAAGGAACTTTGGAACATTAGGAATAAAGGAAGAGCAACAGAAATCATAAATATCTTGGTAAATATAACAGAATATTCTCTTTCTTTAAAATATGTTTGATGGTAGAAAAGCAAAAATATAATATTGTCTGGTGGGGTTTTCAATTTATGTAGACGTAATATATAAGACAAGTGGAACACAAAGGGGCAAGTCCAGAAGAACCTATAAAGTGGTAAGCTTTCTATATAACAATTGAAGTAGTAAAATATTGATTATAAGTAGACTGTGAAAAGTATTTTATAATCCCAATAGCAACCACTAAAAAGAACATACAAAGACACAGTAAACAACACAATAGGAAAAATGCAACACTAAAAATTGTTAAATAGCTTAAAAGAAGACAGGAAAGAAAAAAGCAAGAAAATAAAAACAGAGGGGATAAACAGAAATCAAATAAAAATGATATCCTAATATATCAAGAATTACATTAAATATAAACAATCTATATGCAGCAAAGAAAAGAGATTTTTTGAATGATTAAAAAAAAAAAAATGAACCAGGGGCTGGCCCCTTGCCCGAGTGGTTAAATTTGCGCACTCCGCGGCAGGCAGCCCAGTGTTTCATTGGTTTGAATCCTGGGTATGGACATGGCACTGCTCATCAAACCACATTGAGGCAGCGTCCCACATGCCACAACTAGAAGGACCCACAACA